GTCCAGTGCAATCCCACACAGTTGGCCTCCTCAGGGTGCCGTCGGCCAGACAGTGTCGGCTAGCGACCCCCAGGGGGAAAGCCTTCTCTACCTTCCCTCTGCCCCCGGAGCTTTGTATAATCCCTTCCGATGCGCCCTAAAAAGTTGGCTTTTCCAGCAAGCCAGCCTGGCCTGAACAAAATAAAATAAATGATTGATTATTGTTAATTTTAATCGAATTTTTTAAAAATGTTATTGTGAATCTTAATTGGGTTTGTTTTTTGGATACTCTCTAATTTTTAAAAACTTTTGAAATATGTGGGGTTTTTTTTAATGTTGTACGCTGCCCTAAGTCCTTGGGAGAAGGGCGGCATATAAATCCAATAAACCAAACCAAACCAAAGTGCTGTGTAATCCAATCCATTGCTGCCTACATCCCACTAACTAGCATATGCAATGTACTGACATATGCTTAAAATATGTAGCAAGCTATTTTCTTTTTCTTTTTTTAAAAATTGAAATAGCATGTGGGAGCAGCCTTAATCAGTATGAGACCACAGAGGCCAGGAAAGAAAATTTACATTTATTGCTGCTGATTTGGATGAAATATATATTTTGGTGAGGATCCAGAACAAGGGTTGTACATCTGTTAAAAAGCTTCCATACTTTCCAGTACTTCCATAATACAAAAATAAAATAAAATAATTGTAAGAAAAATATAGTGACACTCTAGCACGAATAACTATTAATTTTCCTTTCCATAAACACACAAAGGAAAGCAATCCTGACTTAAAAATCACAATCTACAGATAGGGGATTAATTTTGTGTCAATTCTCTCAACCTTTTTAGAACAACTCTCTTAGCCGCTTAGTTAGATCACGCACCTTTCTTTTGAATACCTGAGTAGGTGCTCAGATTAGGAAAGATTAGTATAAATCTATAACTAAACTCTATCTGATCAAAATTTAGCTAAATTACCCATTCCAATAACCCATAGATCCAATAACTATTACATGCCAAAATTGTTGGTTCTCCTAAATTTTGTATTCTGAGTGAGAACTGGGAGAAAAAAGGTGCTCTAGCGATAGCAAGATGCCTTTTGCAAATCAGACAGAGACTGTGTCAAAAACCTAGAATTACAAATGTAAAGACTTGCATTCTAAGGCCAAATTTCACATAAGGAGACTACTTTTGTCACATTAAGGAAACATGAATTTCCAGGGTTTTTTTGGGGGGGGGGGTGTCACATCCCCTTTCCGCATTGACACAGAATGCACAACAACATATACAGTTCTCTTGATTTCCATCCATAAACAAAATATTCCAATGTAGAGCATAGTAACGTCATCCTCAGTATATTTCCTTTTAGATGATCTGGTGGGCTAAACAACCAATCTATCCAAAGAAGAAAAGAAAGAACTGAACCTTGTTCCCATACTTGCTTACGGAAGCAAGACAAGGAAATTCCTGAAAAATCTCAGGTACGACCAACTTCTGCTCCAAGACCAAGCAGAACAATGGAGAAAGTAGGAACCTACTTTGGCACAAAAAATAGCACACAAAAGTATTATCTAAGGCTGCGGGATCTCCTTGCCCCACACCCTCTAGGTTTCTCAAGCTCCAGGTGGCAGAAATGATTGGCTAACTGGATCAATGGCAGTAGAGTCTGCTGAGAGGTGAGCCAGTCAAAGATTCCTTCCCCACCCAGCCATCGGACTGACTATCCAGTTGACGTCAGAAATTTGACTTCATCTCTTGGCACTAGAATGTTATATTTATAACAGCACCAGGAGTAGTGGAACTGGAATAGGCGTGCCCAACTCCTTTATCCCCCCTGTTTTCTCTATTTGCTTTTAAAGCTTCTCAGGAGAGTGTGAGAGCAATCCTTAGCTTGTCCATGCAAGGACAGGAAAGCAGCAAGAGCAGAATATTTTTCAAGTGGGCAGTGCAGGCATATTCCTTTGCTGTCGACTACAACTCTTCTTCTTCTCTGACCCAGATCACAGTCAAGGTAAGTCCATGCCAAAGCTTAATTATGGGAGTACTAAAGTACACTAATTCTAGTAACAGGAATAATAAGGGTGGATCTCTCTCAAGCTTACCAAATACATTTTGTTATATTGCCTCCTTTACCTGATTATGCCTAGTTTAATAGAGATGTAGTATAGGTTCAGCAAAGTTTTTAAGAACTTTCCATATTTCAGCTTCTGAAAATCCTTTTAGACTACTGTAAGGATTAATGGATAGAAGAGAGTACAGTCCTAGGGTGACACAGGGGTTCATTCCGGCTCAGCATGAGGTTTTCCATTGATGATATCTAACCAGTTACAGTATTTTCTATTTTATCTTCTTTTTAGACAATTATTGGAAAGGTGAAATATCCTATTTTTCAGAAACTTTTCACTGAGTAGCTTGGATAAAGAGAAGCCAGGAAAAGATAGAAGATCTTTTCTAACAGAGAAATCTTTATTAGTCAGATAACTTTGTAGCATTTATCGAAGCCTGGATCTTTCACAGTAATTTTGTTTATGTTTATTTCACAAAATGATCTACAAGGGAAAAAAAGTAGTCCTGGGAGCACAGAGAAGCGTGATGTAGCACCAGTCTCAAGTAAGGAGGTGTCCAGAGTAACACTTATTTGGGGACACCTATACTTGCCAAAAACTTTTCAAGCAAAAACTCTATATGACTTGGGTGCTTGATATCTTTAGGACCATCTTCTCCAGGCAGAACGTTAGACAATCTGGCAAAGAAAAGATGCAGCAGCTCTTCGCCCCTAGAAAGTTTAGGGCTGGGAACCCAGAAAACGGCATGCTTAATGGCAGCCGACTCTCTGTAAACAGATTCCCCTTGGTGATTCGGCTGCCTCTTCCCTTTCTTTCATCTTTTAGAAAGCTTTAGAAGACTTCCCTCTAACACAGGAGTTAGAAAGAGTGAATTTTATGGAAGACTGCAGATTACCCACCTTGATTTTGTTCAAGATTTAACGTTTCAAGCATTTTATATTTTTATTGGGCTTTTAAAAATGCATCATTGTAGACCAACTTCAGTCACTGAAAGAAGTGACATACAATCTTAATAAATAAGTAAACAAATATTCTTTGTTGCCATGTAGTGCCATCAGGATTTTATAGCTCAGATCTTGAGAGTGCGGGAGGTAGTAGATTTAAAGTATAGACACTGATTTGCTTCTGTTAACCAGTTTGCTTTCTATCAATGTATGGCAGAGATCAAACCACACTCCTTTTTAATTAAATGGAGATTAAAAAACCACCATAATTTGCAGATTGACAATATATTAATTTAACAAAGTTGGGCTGTGGCTTTGGAGAGGATTTGTGTGTGATTGGATTGCGTTATATTCTTCTTATTGTTGTCAGTATTAGCTTACTCAGAACTGTTAGGCTTGTGCTATAGAAATCAGTGGATATCACATTTCCATTTTTCAGTAGATTGCTGCTGAAATTCAGGTAAGGTTAAAAAAAATCAAGATGTCAGCCATGACCACGTGATTGAAGCCCCACCTGTTTTGTCCAAAGGTCACACTGTAACTGTAACTGCCATTTTTATATTTTGAAATATAAAATATAACACAGGAGCATCTTTGTTTATGGGGTCAATTAGGTTAAAGTGGCAGGTGTAACCAGGTTTTCAAAACCTTGTTCCTTTTTATATGTGTTTTGCATGCATCTCATGCATGTAAAAAAGGGTGTGGCTTTGATTACTTAGGCACGCCTGCCGTTTTTGTTATTTATCTGCCCTGGATGTCTCTGCCCTGCCACTGCCTTCTTTGTTTATAAGGGCTGTTGCTGCTGCTCCTTCAGAAAAATAGAGATTATTGTTTACAACAAAGCCCTGGTGCTTGATGGATCGGGTTGTTCTTAAATTATACAGACCCTTGTAGTGTTTTTCCTGCTATTTCTTCTTCAAGGTAGAAAAAATGTGGAGTCCATAAAAAGATGTGCCTCTTTATTACAGTAAGGGCCTTTCCTATGGGATGATTCCTTAATCTAGTTTAACTGACCTATCTCCATTCCATTATTGGATCCAGATTTTACGGCCCAGCATTGTTGCCAATCAAAACAGACGATGGTGGGCTAAGCAAATCAGTGGTCTAACTTGGGATAAGATCATTTTATATTTTCATGTAAAGTAAATAAGAGTTTTATCTGTATAAATTACTTGATTCCTTTTGCAGTAAAATGGCTGATTAACGTGTTCTGTTTTTAAGCATATATTTATAACCCCCAATTTGCCTTATTTCCTACAGGTTTTCTTTTAAGATAAGTCACCTGAAGTGCCATGTCTTCTTCTGAGCCCCCCCAAGGCTGTGGCAACATATCCTCTGACTACTATTTCCTCTGTAACACCAGTGTTTATTGGGGGATTATTTTGGAAGCTCTGGCAGTAGCTGGTGTGTTTGTCACAATCATCCTCATTCTGGTGCTTTTTTCCCTTATCTGTAAAACCCAAGACAATGCAAAACGTAGCCTGATCCCAATCCAGTTCCTCTTCCTGTTAGGCACTCTAGGAATTTTTGGACTCACATTTGCTTTTATCATCAGGCTCAATGAGCAAACTGGCCCCACACGTTTCTTCCTTTTTGGGGTCCTCTTTGCCCTCTGCTTTTCCTGCCTTCTGGCTCATGCCTTGGACCTCACCAGGTTGGTGAGAGGAAGACAGCCATTTACAGGACTAGGGTTGCTGATTATGGTCCTTGGTTTGACTGTTGTACAAGTGATTATAGCCGTACAATATGTAGTAGTCAATATCAAAACCTTGAAGGCTCTACACGATGACATGGGTGATGACGGACGAAGAGACTTTATTTTAATACTCATCTATGTACTTTTCCTGATATTTCTCCTCTTCATAGTTTCCATGTTTGTGTTTTGTGGCTCATACAAGAGATGGAAGAGGCATGGTATCCACTTATTCTTCACAGCCCTTTTCTCTATAGGCATTTGGGTGGCATGGATTGCTATCCTGATGCATGGTATCAGTGATTTAGGTAAACCATCAGAATGGAATGATCCTCTCCTTGCAGTTGCTCTGATAACAAATGGCTGGGTTTTCCTGATTCTGTATACAATACCTGAACTCTGTGTCCTCACTGCTCCACGGAAGCCTGGAGATTACCCTCTGGAGACTAATACTTGCCAGCCAAAGGGCCTGAAAAAAACTTATGGAATAGAAAATCAAGGTTATGCTCAGGAAGACAATAGACAAGGTAAGACAACAGCTACTCTCTACTAGAGAGCCGAGGTGGCGCAGTGGTTAAATGCAGCACTGCAGCTACTTCAGCTGACTGCAGTTCTGCTGTTCGGCTGTTCAAATCTCACCGGCTCAGGGTTGGCTCAGCCTTCCATCCTTCCAAGGTGGGTAAAATGAGGACCCGGATTGTTGTTGGGGGCAATATGCTGACTCTGTAAACCGCTTAGAGCCCTATGAAGCGGTATATAAGTCTAACTGCTATTGCTATTGCTACTGCTATTGCTACTATATTCCAATGAAAAGAAAATGCCAGCTGAAAGAAAATAGTTCAAGCAAAAGATTCATAATACTATTCCAAAAGCTAACATTTTTGATGAATAACATATACAGTATACTGATTGATCATTAAGCATTAGTTCAACTTCTGGATGTATTAATAATCTTTAGATATACACAACAAGGTCTTTATTCTACAGTGGATTTATTTGAGATGACAATGACGATGAGGAAGGAGACAAAGAAAACAATAATAAATTAAGCAACTTTATTTAGCTTGATTCATCAAATAAATTACTTAATAATTTTTCAAGTATTAGAAAAACACCATTCTATAACATAATAGCAGTAGACTTAATATGCAGTGAAAAGCACATTAAAATTTTATGCAAGGTTTCATCAGTTAAAACCTATCTGCTGATTAATCAGCCAAGGTTTTAATTGAACAATTTATTAATTGAAATATGCAACTTTATTTTAAAAAAATTCTCTGATAAAGTAATCTGTAACCAGAATTGATTTAATTAAAACATTATTTGTTGAACTGCTTGAAAAGCTTTAGTTGAACCTTTTGTTGGCATGAAAAGATAAATTTGTGACAGATACACATTGTGAGTGTCTAAATATTTCATTTGTTTAAAGAGGAGTTAGGATATCTAAAATTGTTCACAAGCATCAATAACAAGGACTTTTTGCAGGAATCTTTTGCAAGAATTACTCATTTCCCTTATTTCAATACATACAAGAATGTCTTATGAATTGCATACACGCAACAAGAGTTGGACTAAATGAGGAAGATTTTAGATTTATGTATATGGAAGTCCTGCCTCCAAATGTCCTATGGGCTTGTCTACTCCTAGAATATCCACCTATCACTATTTAACCTTTTTTTTTGCTATAAAATCTTCATAGTTAACTGTTCTGCCCCCCTTCTGTCTGGTAATGAACGCAGACACAGGCTTAGCTGTTTGCCATTCTTTATTCACATCAATTATAATCCTGTTGCTGAAAGCCAGACACGACTCACTGGCAAGACGTTGGCAGCAACTCAGACTCCAACAGACACGGGAACACAAGGCAGACCAGACAAGAAGTTCTCCAGATTACTACGAATGGTTATGTCCTGCAAAAGGACTCCTCCCAAAGTCTCTTTTTATATACTCTCTTGGGAGGGGCCAAACCACAACCACCTGGGCTTGATTATCTCTTATGAGTCTGTCTCCATAACTGCTGCCTCCGTTTCTCCGCCCTTCATTGCCTGCTGTCAGGGACAAACTCCCTTTGATTTCCCCCACTCCATGCCTCAGGTGCTTCCTGGTGGCCAACCAGCCTCTCTGGTCCCTGCTCTGAGTCTGAACCCTGCTCAGGGTCCTCCACATTTTCCATAGCAGACGCATAGGGGTCCTCGCTATTGGAGTCCATCGGCAGCTCCAATGGCTCCTGCTGAGCCATAACAGTTAACAGTCAACATATCTGTGGTTAGCTGTGATGGCAGAGTGGTTAGAATGCATTATTGCAGGCTATTTTAGCTCATGGCTAAATTCAGGCTAATTTAGCTCATGGCCAGGAGTTTGATCCTGACAGGCTCAAGGTCGACTCAGCCTTCCATACTTCGAAGGTTGGTAAAATGAGGATTTTTGGGGGCAATACGCTGACTCTCTAAACCTTTTAGAGAGTGCTGTAAAGATCTATGAAGCAGTATATAAGTTTAAGTGCTATTGCTATTGCTATTCCAACCTGAGATATGCCTCCCAACCTCTTTGTCATCTCACTCCATTTGATTTGCAGCAAGAAAGAGGTCGAAAGGGACATTTTCTACATTAGTTGGCAAGCCCTAGGAATTGGTAAGGTTGATGCTATGGCATCGTGGGGCGGGGAAGGGGAATGCCAGGACCTAGGAAATGGCATATGACTCATTTTGTATGGATGTTACAATATGCGTTCTTATAAAGGATGTATCACTCAAATGGTGATACGTTCTTTATAACTCTTTTAAAGAATAGATTCCAAAAATAGAAATAAAAGAGATTCAAAAATTAATGTGAAATGTCCTTTTTCAACCTAGTGACACCCAGAGGTGTTGAAATGGTACATTTGAAATGTGCTAGGAATTGAGCACCCATAGCAATGGTTACTGGCTTCAAAATGACCGATGTGGCTTTTTTTTATATCACTGCAATGTGTGCAATAGATGTCAAAAAGGGCTGGGACTTTGATTGCTCAGGTGTGCCTGTCATTTTGAAGCCTCCTGGGAATTCTGAAACTATTGTACCAATAAATTATTATTTTTGGTTTATTTACTTCAGTGGACATGTGGCGCATGGCAGGTTGGGGAAAGCTGGCATAAGTATTCATGCTAGACATTATTATTTTGAACCAAACTAAATCTATTTATTTACTGTATACTAATTCTAAAGTTCATTTCCTTTTGCCCTCTTTGCATATCTTTCATCGTTCCAGAAGAAAATTCTGACTCATATGTCCCTTATTCAACTCATTTTCAACTGAAGGTAAATTAAACACTTTTCTTTCATTAGGGTAATAATCAAGTGCTGTAGGAGGAAAGTTTAGCATGTTTAGAAAGTTAAGCATCTGGGGAAAAGGGTGGTATTCATATAGACTTATTAGTTCGTTAGTTAATGTTGCTTTTGATGTGATAACTAGTTATGGTAATAATTCTTGTCAAGATGAACAGTTTCCTGAGCAGAAAAAAGTAAAGTGTTTCTAAAAAGCTTTAAAGTCCTTGTAAAATGCTTGATAAAAATTGATTCTGGGACCTACTACAAGTGATTTGATTAGGCTTATAACAGCAAATAGTTTCCTCAGAATACATTCAAAGGTAAATTGTGATTTCAGAGAGAAATGATACATTTCCTAGTTACATTTCTTTATATCTAGTGTTACCAGGTAGATCTAGGTTACAAAAGTGTAGGTAACTACCACATGTAGCTTAGTGTTACTGCATTTTTTTGTCATCCAGATGTTTAGATGCCTAGATATGCCAATCCTACTTATACTTTGAAGAGCTTTCGGTAATAATTTACCAAGCTCAGCATTTTTGTTGTGGTCTCCAAAGTACCAACTAATTCATGATTGCAGAGCAGGCATTGCGTTGGTACTATGGAGGCTACTGAAGGCAACCAAAACCAAGTTAGAAAAAAAGCCACTGAGATCTTTCCTACTCCCTATTGGAGTGGGGTTGATGGGAAAAGGTTGACTGTGAAAATTGTAAGTAAGTGCCATTTCTTATCCCAAAGGTGCTTTTTCAAGAGGCAACTGGACTTTCTGTTTTTCCTTTGAAGACGTTTCCCTTTTTTCTTCTCATCCAAGAAGCTGAAGAAGCTTCTTGGATGAGAAGTGAAACATCTTCAAAGAAAAACCCAAAAGTCCAGTTGCCTCTTGAAAAAGCACCTTTGGGGCAACCATGACGGATGACTGAGAATCTCCATACATGTGCCATTTTCTAGCATACCTGAACAGTCATTAAGGGTATTCTTGGACCTGCTATGAATTTAGTTTCTCTTTAGTTTAGAGATATGCTGTATAAGCTAGCCATCTAGTACAAAGCATTCTACATTTAATCGATTCATGGCTAAATATCTAAGCTCTGGCTTTCCTTTTTGACATTTAATGAGATAGTAAATACTGCCACTATGTCTTTGAAGGAGAAAGGTCCACTCTTTATAGATTACTCAGGTTCCTCACCTCTAGGAACATAAGAGTGAATTAACAAGAGTCTGCTTTTGGGGATAGATGTTACTTTATAATCTCAAAGTTATATTTCTCTTCCTTTTTCAGGACCTTGAGCCTCAACATGAGTTCTCCATTCCCCGCCCTAAACCACGGCCCAGTCCATACGAAGAGTATTCTGGAGGGAAAGGTATCAAGCAATAGCCTCTCAACGAAGAAGGAGAAGCAACGTTGAGTTGACTGAGGTGTTGGTATAGCGGTGCTTCAGTTTTGCAAAATCAGGGACACTGCTCACATTGCCATGGATGAAGGAAGATTGTTTTCGTTTTCTTCTGTAGGTCTTCTGGCTCAGCACATGTAGCACTTTATACCTCTGAATTCAGTAATGAACCTCTCCCCCCCCCCCGTGCCTTTACACAACTATAACTACCCTCCATCAAATCTTTATTAACTGGGCCTAAACCCCTGATCCATATGTGAGGATGGGAGACTTGAAATGGGATTCTTCCTCTGTGTTTACTGGTTCCCTGTGTAATTTTGATTCTCTCTTCGCCTGAGTTCCAAATTGTTCTCTGTGTACGGGGAGCTTAGACCCTGTTTTAGATTTCTCACCATGATGGATTGGGGGGGCAGCAAAGTTGGAATGGAAGGACCATTCTTCCCATCAATCAGAACACAGCTGGAGGGGACCTTGGAGATCTTCTAGTCCAACCCCCTGTTCAAGCAGGAGACATTATATAATGATCACATATGGGCTGGTTACCTTGTGAAAATGATGATGTCTCTAAGATCTATCAATATTTTTTTCTCTATCTGTCTGAGCTCACTTTTCCTCAGCAAAGAGATTTATCCCAATCATAGGGGCTGCTGAACATAAACACCGAGAGCTTTCTGACCATTACTAGTCTCTGAATTAACTGTATTTGCTTATTTATTTTTCTATCTAAAGCACTGAAATTAGGATGATCATCATGATGTTTAAAATGCAATTTCATGACCATCTATTTTCACAAAGGGGGTCTGGTGAAGCAGTCATAAGAGGGGAGTAGCTTTCGATTTAAGTCTGATTTACCATTTTCCACAGTGTATAATAATAGAAACTATTCATTTGCACCATCATTCTTAGCCTATACTACCTGGGATGAAGGGAGATGACACATCTGGGAAATACTAGACTGGGGAAGTTTGCAACAATGATGTAGGTGAGCCTAGATAGCAAGAACTTCTGAAATGGTTGCAATGGAAGCAATTGACCCTGCGGTATGTGATTCTTGAGAATAAGCCTTATTATATATAACCTTTGCCAATATCTGTTAAAATGTGTAGCAGATACTCTAAGAAGAACAGCAAATGATACGCGCCTTAAAAGTGGTTTATTTTAGAGAGAAATAGAAGGAAAAATCCTTAGCTCAAGTCAGTGACACCAAATCTCTTATGTTGCTTGACTTTTATAGGAGACAGGTGTTTACATTTCCCCACTGAAATCAATGGGAAAACACAAGTATATGGTATTCTGTATTTTGTGGGAAAGCAGTCCAGGATGGTTGCTTATACGCTTTCGTCTGCCTTATGTAATATTTATTTATATAGTTCTTATGTTACCTTGAATATACACATGTAATAAATATATAAATATATATTATATGTGTTTGTACCTCCTCCTTTTGTAATTCCTTTTCATGTGGTATAGTCTACCAAACAGATGTGCTCTATGCACCTATGATGTACAGAGAGTTCATTATAAGGCCATTAGCATATTTTAGAACATATTATTAAAGATTATCATCCATGGAGCAACTTTGCCTCACCTAAATTTTACAGCTTGCCAAGAAAAATATCTGGGTGATCTTGCTGAAAGCTTTGCTGAATTTAAAATATTATATCCATGGCCATAGCATTCCTCTAATCCACTAGCTCAGTATTTGTAAAAAGAAATTGTAAAAAGAGAGAAAAAGAAGAAGGATACAAAACTAGTTTGACATGCTTTGCTTCTTCAGTGCCATAGAATCACTGGCCGATGCACATGCGTGCACCAGAAACTGGAAGATCATCTTCCCAGCACGTTCATGCGCACCGGGAAGCTGCTCTTTAGGTTTCTGGCACACACGCTCGTGCTCCCATTTTGGCTGAAAAGGTTCACCAACATTGTCCTATGAGATATGCAGTTTCTGGCTATGGAAAAGTTGTCAGGCCTTAGTTTAAAAGGTGCATTTCCTTTAAAGGCTGTAGGGAAAAAAAAAGGCAGATCACTCTCAGGCATTAAGTCCAAAGGTTTATTTTATCAAGTCGCTACCAGCTACAAATAAATATCCTATAAACTTGCTTAAGCTGCACTGAGATTGCTTTTGATTCAATAAAAATAAACTTGTAAATGTGTGTACCCAAAGTGATACCCTTTTGAACATCAGAAGGCTTATTTCTGAGTAAACGCATTTAACCAGCTAAGCCAGATGCCTGCAGTGATAATCTATTGGCAAATCATGTTATAAAATACCCTTGTGAATTGCTTTGAGAATTGACATAGCTAATAAAACTGGTGAAATAAATAAATATTCATGTTCATTTTCTCTTCCTTCTTAACTTGCATTTGGTTTTCCACATTTGCTCTCAGTCCGCAGGATTCCTCCTTCATTGCCCTCTGTGTGGCTTTTTCAGCTTCTCTTTTCATTCATCTTTGTATGAATGTTTGTATCTTTGCAAGTTTGGTGGGTGTAGGGGTGGGGTGGGGTCTCCCACAGGTATTCTTTCTCCCTCCCCATGTTTAAAATCAACATATTGCTATGGTAATCAAAGCAAAAGTATGTCTGTTTTTGTTTACCATGGTGATTGCAGGCAGTGTTGCATTATGAAACAAATATTCTCATTACTTTTATTTTAAAGCAAATGGACAGAAAAAGTACACACTTATTTTTGCCTGCCAAGCCAAAATATTTGATAGTGTTTGGCCAGATAATATTAATGGGCAAATCAAATAATCTAGACTGGAATCTTCAAAGAATTCTGATAAGGGCCTTGTGCCAGGTTCTGTCTCTGATAAGATTCAATCATAATTCTCACCTTGGCATTATAAAACTCTCAGAAGAAACTGCCTGGAACTCCAACTCATATACACCACTTTTTGTATGAATAGTTTTGTGTGTGTACTGGACAGGTTTTTTTTTAAAAAGTTTTGCTTCTTCAAAAACCTCTGGTGATTATAATACTTCAAACTGAAAACAAATATCATTTCAGAATGACTATATCATGTGGGAATCTTGAGAAATATGAAATTAATGTTTAATGACCGTAATGTATTTAATCATATAATGTTTCTGACATGCAACATGCATTCAAAAGGACTAAAAGTGTTTGGTTGCTGATTTTCATTTGTACTCTGTTCGATGCATCTTACTACAGTGTGTTTTGATGGATTCCAATTGATCTAATGCTGTTTTTCCCTAGTGGCAATGTCCTGATAAAGGTTTTCATCATGTTTGTGACTGATTGCACCTAGAGTTTCAGAAAGGAAGTCCAAGTATGAATACAGAAAACAAATCTTCAGTGACATGTTGATGCTATAAGAAGTTTGTAAACTATCTGAATGTAATTTGGTGCTCTGTAATTGCCAAGAAAATTCTCAATGACATCCTTGAATGCTTTCCAAGCAATTTTCTCTGAGTCCACTAACCGATCTTTGAACCACTTGTCATTGATGCTGTATCTCAAGGGTGTCAAAATTGCATTGTCATGGCGGCATCATGTGACATATCAGGATGTCCCCCCTTCACTAAACCAGGGGTGGGGGTGGCCAGCGCCTGATGCATCTGGCCTGCCGGCCCAGAGTTTGATAACCCTGCTCTATTTGATCTGTGGACCAACAAAAATGCCTTCTTTAATCAGTTATTGTTGGAAAATCTGCCTCAGATATCAAAAGCCTTCATCTTCCTTTTTCATCGCTCACGCAAAATTTTTCATCAGTCCAAGTTTGATGCAAAGTGGAGGCAAAAATATCTTTATTGAATCAACAAGTGTTTCATGTTCCATATTTTTTCTGTCCTGCAAACCAAATTCTTTTGAAATGACCATTTTTTTAATGCAATGCAACTCTCTTGCATGGCTGTTCCATTTGCATATGTAACAACAGTACCTGATATATCCAAGCTGCATGCCAAGGAGCAGAACTGCTACCTTTAGATCTCCACAGATATTCCAGTACTTGGTGTAGTGGAGATGCTTCAACAACAGTTCTATGTGTTTCTTTTATGTGCGCAGCATAATCAACAGGAATTAAATTGCCAAAACACAATTTTCCAATGTGTTGGAAAAAATACTGTCAGAGTCCTTCTGATTTTTTTTACAAGCCATGTGTTTTACGCTGCACTGCTTTCCCCATGGCAAAATATATCCCAGGATAATAAAACAGGATGCTCTATATTATTACAAAGGTTTCACTGGAAATGGAAAGTTACAGATTAGCAAACTTTTAAAAAAAAAATTGTTGTGGAATAACTATTACAAGTGAGGCAGGGCATTTATTGCCTCCACCTTTCCAGTAGGCCTGAGAAATCAAAAGTGATTCTATGGCCTGGACTTTCTGGCCTTGAGGGTTGGTACTTTGTTGGGAAATCATTGCTAGAGAACAAGCATAAACTTGTTGTAGAATGAATATATACACAAAACGGGCATCTTTAAAATAATAATAAAAAAGGTTCTGGGCAACCAACATCAGCCCCATTTCTCAGTAAGTTACCTGTATGCCCGAGCTCCTTACCTGTATTTGAGCTCTTCGGCGCTTCTGGGCATGGAGTTTACGGCGCCTGCGTGGCACTCTGTCAAGCAGCTGTTTAGTGTGTTTAGTGTTTATTAGGATTTGTATGGCGCCCACTCTCAAGAGACTCAGGGCGGCTTACAGATAAAGAAGGAAGGGGGAACATATAAAAATTAAAAAACAGACATTAAAATTCACAACATTCATAGCTCTGAATGGGGCTGGATAAAGCAACAGCCCCAGGCCTGCCGGAACAGCCAGGTCTTAGTCGCTTTGCGGAAGGCCGGAAGGGTAGTAAGGGTCCAGATCTCAAAGGGGAGATCGTTCCATAGGGCTGGAGCCGCTACAGAGAAGGCCCTCCCCCGGGGAGTCGCCAGCCGACATTGACCGGCAGATGGAATCTGGAGGAGGCCTAGTCTGTGCGATCTTATAGGTCTCTGTGGGGGATGCCGGGCCCCGTTGCACCATACCGGTTGCAACGGGATCCAGAACCCATCACTGGTACACTGGTGCCATTCTCCCGCAGTTTCAGCCAAGAACTCACAGAAGGAAGGTGTAAAATTTCCATTTGAGACCTTGGAAATTAGGGTTGGCATCTATATCAGCGATGGTGAACCTTTTCAGCACTGAGTGCCCAAACCGGAATGTGTGCTGGAAACCTGAAACCAACGCACCAGCCAACTGGTCTTCGGGTTTCTGGCACTCTGCCACATGTGAAGATGTGCGCAGGAAACCTAAAGACCAGCTGGCCGGTGCACATATATGCCGAAGGGGCGCAGTGGTTAGAGTGCAGTACTGCAGGCTATTTCAGCTGACTGCTAGCTGCAGTTCAGCAGTTCAAATCTCACCAGGCTCAAGGTTGACTCAGCTTTCCATCCTTCCGAGGTCCGTAAAATGAGAACCCAGATTGTTGGGGGCAAAATGCTGACTCTGTAAACTGCTTAGAGAGGGCTGTAAAGCATTGTAAAGCAGCATATAAGTCTAAGTGCCATTGCTAAAATACAAGGATTCAGAGGACACAAGCTAGTCAATTGCCTATTAGAGAGACACCATCCCAGTCATTGTTTTTTCATGAGGTTAGTTTCAGCTGAGAAGTAACAACATTTTTCTCACCCTTATTCCATTCAAAAGTATACTATAAAGCAGTGTTTCTCAACCTTGGCAGCTTGAAGATGTCTGGACTTCAACTCCCAGAATTCCCCAGCCATTCGCTGGCTGGGGAATTCTGGGAGTTGAAGTCCAGACATCTTCAAGTTGCCAAGGTTGAGAAACTCTGCTATAAATGGTTAGTCCCCATTTTATAGGTGTCACATTTTTCAGTACATGCAACTGTTGCATTTGTCTGGGGATTCTGTACATGCAATTGTTGCATTTGTCAGAAAGGAAGGTAGGAAAAGAGAAAAAAACCCTTTGATGGGAAGCTATATAAGAAAAAGTAAAGTATAAAAAAGGAAAGAAAAATAAAATAGAAATCCTTCAAAGCTTTCTGTTGGAACAGACGAATTCTGCATCCCAATAAAGCTTGTGACTTATAAAGGTGAAATAAATGGCAATTTTGCAAACAGGCATTTTCCCCACAACACACTATGCAAAGCAGCCAGGATACAAAAAACAATATTAGTTGTGGTTTCAGATAAACCAAAGTCACAGTCAAAATAAAGTGACCTGGCTCTAAAAATTAAAGGATGTTCAGAGATAGCAATAGCAAATAGATCTGTGAGGACTAGAGCAGTGGTGAGATTCAAAAAGTTTTACTACTGATTCTGTGGGTGTGGCTTTGCCTTGGTGGGCGTGGCTTGGTGGACATGGCAGGGGCAGGACACTGTAAAATCTCCATCCCCTCTCCACTCCAGGGGAAGGATACTGTGAAATCTCCATTCCCTCCCGATCAGCTGGGACTCAGGAGGCAGAGAATAAATGGGGGGCCAATCAGAGGTGGTATTTACTGGTTCTCCGAACTACTCAAAATTTCCGCTACCAGTTTTCCAGAATTGGTCAAAACCTGCTGAATACCACCTCCGGACTAGAGTGATGCAAAGATTAGTGGGGAAGTGCCCCAGAAGAACTACATTCCTTACACTCATAAATTAAAAAAAAAATTGCCATTTCAAGAAAGCAATGTATAAAGTAGCCTTTGTACTGTGAGTTTTAAATTGCATTTCATTCTTAATGCCATAGCAAGTTTGCATTTCGATTTGGTTCTGAATTTGTTAAATTCAAATCCATGTCAAATATTAATCTAACAATTTTCATCTGCCCCCAAAAGACACTACATGCTGCAGTGATAATGCTCATTGGATTTCTTAGTGGATGACACCTGGCTCAGAAAGTGATATCATTGTCCTCCTGCATGTTTTTAGTACCTCAATAAGTGTTTCTATTTGAAAACAGGTGGCTCCTATTAAACCTGCCACCTCCTGATAATTGAACAGGTGATATCTGGATAAATACTGATTCCTGAGGCAAATACTGATTCTACTGTGCAAATACAGTAGATTGTAGCAAAAGGTTTGTGTGTGCCATTTTTTCCTTTGCAGGTTAGAAAGTGGCCACTTGATGGCGCACTTGCATCACAACCCTCTTTGGCATTGCTTTCACAATTGTTCTGACTGAATTCTGAGAGTATATAAGTCCCTCTCATTCTTTCTAGCAATAGCAGTAGACTTATATACCGCTTCATAGGCCTTTCAGGCCTCTCTAAGCGGTTTACAGAGAGTCAGCATATTGCCCCCAACAATCTGGGT